CAGCCTAAAAACGTCAGAGATTCTGACTAAACTGTCATTTTGTGATTTTATTTTTAGTAGGGCCCCAGCATGTGGGGCAAAGGCATTTTTTGCATTGTTTTTAAATTTCATTAAATAATGTATTTATAATTATAATATATACTAAATAACAACTATTAAAATTTCTTGTTGATTAGTTTTAGAATAATGAAAAACAAAGACTACATAAATTAATTGCTTAATTAAAAAAATATACACCGATAAATGTAAACCTAGCGCCTTTGCCCCACTCTCCCCTACTATAGTTTAGTTTTTCTGGTAGCAAAATTTTCCTTTGTCGCATTTTGTCCTACACTTGTAAAATACATTTATAAAATTTAATAATAACTTTCTTTCCGTGTAGTGAAAATAAACACGAGTTTATAGTGAAAGAACAGTTATATTAAATTTTTGTAACAGTGTTCTAGAATACTGTAGGAACAATGTTTCTTTAAAATTCTATAACTAATTTAGAACAAATGTTACATGTTTGTTATAGAACAGATACAAAACAACTGTTCCAGAACAAATTTAGAACAAAGCTCTAGAACTGTTCTATAATAAAATTGTAACACTTGTTCTAGAACACTGTTCTTTTTTTAGTCTAGAACATAGTTATAGTACGTGCACACTGGGTCGAAGTTTTAGCGGTACTTTACATTTACCCACTATATTTCGGTGGGGGCTGTAAATAATAAAGCAGTGGCAGAACTACCATAGGGAAAACCGGGCGAAATCCCGGGGCCCCGCGATTAAGACGATTTAAATATGAAACTTAGATTATTATTAATTTTTTAAATTATTTTATTTATTTATTATATTTATTATTATTTTTCATTTTATTAAATTAATAAATTATTATTGATATTTAATATGAACATATTTGAAACTAAAAATCTTGTTTAAATAAATTCTAAAGATATAATTTTTACTTTAATAAATATTGTAATTATTCTATGTATTGTCAAATTGTTATAATAAATTATACTAAATTTTTTATTTATGACTTTGAGTAAATATACTTTAAGCTTGTTATCTAGTCTCAACATTCTTCCATAAATATTTCTTACGACTAGAAAAACTTAATAAATGTTTTGAAAGACAATCAGCAGTAATTTTATTATTTAAAGACACGCTTTTTTTTATTATTTATTTCCCACTTAATAAAATTTCATTTCTACTAGTGGGCCCCAAGGCTTTACTCGACCCAGGGCTCCGGCCTCTCTTGTTACGCTACTGTAATAAAGATGAATTCAATGAGAAATAATCACAATTCATAAACATCAGGATTCAACAGGAGCATAAAAAACCCTTTAGTCAGAAATAAACAAAAGCTTCAGGAAACGTCCAAGTAGTAACAAAACATCAAATTTTCTGACGTTTTCTTATTATTCCTGATTTTATTTTTAGCAGGGAATTCAGATTTAGAGAGTATTTACAATTGAGGAGCTGTATCGAAGAACTCGCTCGACGCTCGAACTAAAGGGATAATACCAGTCAGGTAGCAGTGAACGACCCAGAGGTCCTCACTGCTACCTGACTGGTATTCCCTACTAAAAATAAAATCAGGAATGGTCAGACAAATGGTCAGGCCGCCTGACCACTTTAATCCAGTTTTCTTACGATTCTGGATGGATCTCGTCAGAAATCTATCACATCTGATCAGGAGGAAGTTTAAAGTGGTCACAAGTTTGCTACTATCCCCTCCTCTTTGTTGACCCCGCCCATAATTGGTGACTATTTGAGACCATTTGTATCTCATTTTTGACCATATTTTTAAGCCACTTCTGTTTTATTTATTTAAACAATATGCAAAAAGTTGCAACAAATTAATTTTAAAAAATATATTTTATTAATTAATATCAGTTTGTTTACATACGGAACAACTTGAAACTAATTCCCGGAGTTAAATTAAAATTTGGACCCTACGGGGATCGAACCCCGACGCATGACCTAACCTAGTGCCTTAGCTAACTGCCTTAACGACTGCGACTACCGAACCGACTTACATATTTCTGGATTCAACTGTCTATATAAAGAGCAACTGTAAAATAGTAAAATTTAATTACCAATATTATCAAGAAATCAGAATAAATTGTTAAATAACTTTTATTAATTAATTATGTTTCAATTTAGTCATAATAGGTTATGTGAATTAATAAAAATTAACATTATTAATTGAATCAATAATAAATTAAGTCTTAACTTTACAATTTGGAATGTTTCATAAACTATAATACGAATACAGATTAATAATAATTATTATTATATCTGCATTTAAAATGAATTTAGTATTTAATATTAATTTAATTTAACATTATAATTTATAATAATAATGAATTATTAATGCAATATTGAAATTTTTATATATTTTAAATTTAAATTATTAATAATCATTATAGTAAGAAATTATTCTATTAATGATTAATAATAATTTAAATATAACTGCATTTCAATTATAATGCAAATACTTCTCATAATAAGTACTGACTGGTATAGTAAATTACTAATATTATGAAACAAAATTTATTATTAATTAACTATATTAAATAATTACAAGTAAATATACGTATATTAAATTAATATATTATAAATATACATTAAATAAATATATTAAATAATGTTAAAAGAATGGTCCGAATGTTTTGATTTATTTACCTACTTTTGCTGTATAATTAATTCAATAATTATACCAATTTGAAAAATGAGAACTTTTGTTAAGTTAAAAGAACAATTTTTATAATAGAATAATGTATTCTGAAATGTAAAAAATAAATTTGAAAGATTTTATATGTATATATAAACTTTCATGAGACTTTACCAAAATTAGAAAGATGTACCAAAATTTTTATAGGTTATGTGTTCACACATTTCAGAAATAGTCAAGAATTTCAGAAATGGTCACAGCTTCGAAAATGGTGGGAGTAAAGTGGGAGGAGCTTGGAAAGTATTTGGTTAGGAATGGTGAGAAACGTTCGAAAACGTCAGAAGTGGTGAGACTGTTCAGGAATGTTCAGAAATTCTGACCATTCATGACGATTCCTGATTTTATTTTTAGTAGGGTTATCCCCTTTTTTCGAGCGTCGAGCGAGTTCTTCGATACAGCTCCTCAATTACTAAAGCTGGAAAACTTTACATTAAATATAACATTTAATAAAATATATTATTTGTTTTATTTATTTATTATTCCGATCAATAGAGACACGTATTTTAAAAAAATTTCAGTCCCGGTTTTTTCCCGATTAAAATTTTCATCCCGGCTTTTTCCTGGTTTTCTCCCGGTCGTCCCGGTTGGGTGGCCACACTGTAAATGTTATACTTTTTAAAAATGAAATGTTCTCACCATTTTTTTCAATGGAGCAGCGAATAAAATAATTTTTGTTGTAAAAAGGAGGAGTTTAAATCTTACTTTTATTGGTCAAAAGTCTTCATTTTCTCTTTGGTGGTAAAGAGAAAATATTTAATTTTTAAAAAATAAAAGAATATTGTTCAATATAAATATATGATTCAAACTCCTCCTTTTTACTAGAAGCAATTTTTTTATTCGTTAACAGGAAAAAAAAGTCTGACTCCGTTTACACCTTAAATTCAGCCCATGTATTTCACATAAGTCTGTCCTTGTCGAGGTCCTTGTTTAACGGGGCTGACTCCGTTTACACCTTAAATTTTCAGCCTCAAAAAGAGGCTGAAAGTTAAACTTTTTTTTTTAGTGTGTTGCGTTCATTAAAAATAATGGTAAGAATATTTCATTTTTAAAAAATATAACATTTAGTCTAAAAAAATATTCATATTAATAATTATTAAAGGCTTAAAGGAGACTAGAATTGAAAAATTTATACAATTTATTTTGCAATTAAAAATAATAAACTCGAGTAACTTCAATAAACAAAAATATAACTTTTCTATCATCGAAAACTGCACACAACGTCGCGCGTGGAAATCTTCCGTTGGGGACATTTGTTTTTTTCTAGTTTCTTTCTAATGCTGAAATAGAAAATGTTGGTAAAGTAGATATTATTTTAATATCATTTTACTATTGGCATTTAATTAAATTACAAGTTTTGTTTTCTCATTAGTCTTATTAATAGCTGATATACTTAATATTTTTACATTCTTTTAACATAATATAAATTATTTTTTTCCTAATTTACAACGTTTTCATAAGAAAATATGAAAAATAACATTGCTATAAAATCTCATTGAAATCTTTGCACATTTCAGGTAATTATTAATTATTTATAGCTTTATTTGTAAAAGTCTTTGCATAATTTCATTCTCGAAATGTTTCTTTTCAAGTTCCAACCGTTTTTTCTATCAAATTATGTCTATTAACAGACTTATAAAGCCATTTACCAAATGTCTACGAAACGTCAAACCCACGTGGGTAGACATTTGGCAAATCGATTCCGCCGCAGGGTTTAAACTGCAAAGGTGTAAGAAATACTGCCCAAATAAAAAATATTTTGTATTTTAAAAGACGATCCTCTTACATAAAAAATGAAAAGAATATATAACCTTAAAAGGGACCTTTTATCGAGGAACGTCACATACCAGATACCACATAAGTTCCGTATCCCTTTCACATGCCTGACTACCTTTTGTTTTTAAAGGAGAGTCCAGAATAGAGTCGAATGCTCTGATAGTAACGCGCTCGTCCATATGGAATACATTAGGAGGAGCGCGTTAGTATCAGCGCGTTTATACCGACGTCGACTCTATTCTGGACTCTCCTTAACACTTGAGCATGACACGTGAGCTGCTTCTTATTTGTTAACTGTATATTAAAAACAAGTACCTCTCCTGAAAAGAAGAGGTAAAGAAATTCAATTCAACACGTGGTCGAATAAAAATCCCAGCAGATGGTTAGTAATTTTAACATTTAAACTAACTATCCAGTGACGAACAAGTTTTAATCGAAAGCGATTCACTTTTTTCAAATCTTCTACAACAGTTTACATGGATTGGTAAATTCCTGCCAAGAAGGAAAAATTTCATCCAATAAGAAGTTATCTTAAAATCCAATATTATGACAGTTGATTCGACCAATTATTCCTATGACCAATCAGAAATGAGTGAATGGAATGGGGAATTCTAGTGAAAGACAAGATGGTTGATAAAAGGGGAATGTAAGCTCAACGTCAAAGTTCAAGATAAATATTGCATATTGGTTTGGAAACAACCTTCGACTTGACACGCAGGTATTTCACACTTACTTAATAAGTGTCAAGAGTGGAAGATTCTTGTATAATATTTCTTTATTTGACTATTTACATCAAGATTTAACTGGTCAGTATTAATTTATTCAAGCCTCGACTTTTTTCCTTTTTTCACTCCATATAATTATGTATTCATCGTGAAAGTATGTAATGCCACTTTTGTTTTTGTTGTTTCAGTCTTTGCCAATTGTTGGCCTATTTTAATAATTAAACCATTTTTCCTTTTTTTTATAAATCTGACCTACTATGCAAAGTCAAAAACTATTCAAAAACTTTTAGAAGTATAAAAAAAATTCAATATGTTGTAAGATTCTTATGCTGAAATCCTGTTTAAATAGAAAAATATTATTTTATTGCAGCAAATGGTAAAGAATAAATGAAAATAATTTAAAAATAGCAAGTGTGTAAATATATTTTTTTAAATATCCATATGTTCAAAGAATGTGAAAATATTTTATAAATTTTTATAATTGTTTTTAACTTTGTTTGATTTAGTTTTATTTAAGAAACAATTTGAAGAAACACAATTATTTTTCGTACATATTTAAAGTGTAGAAAAAGTAGAGAAATAATTTTTTTCTTTTGTAAAAAATAATTGTTTTTAATTATGTTTCATTAAAAATTTTCTTATACGTAAAACAAAAGACCTAATTATGGTAATCTTCTTTCTTTTCTAACGCTTTTTTCTAAGGCCTTTTATTCAAAAATAATTAAAAACGCGGTTTTAACAAAAAGTAAATATTAAATAAAAGAAAAAAACTTTTATGTTTATATTATATGTATATAATATAAACGAATTTTTACATTCTTATCACATGAAAAAGTATTATTATCTTTTTCCTGTTCATAGCGATTTTCTTATTGTCTACTAAATGAACTTATTTATTTTGCTTTTATTTTAATTTTATTTGTTTTCCCTTTGTTGAATATTTATTTCAGTATTATCTACAATTTCTATATTCGAAGCTTTGTATTCGTGACGATTTTTATTTTTCCAAAAGAATAAGGTTATATTTTTATCTGAAATGCATATATTCAAAGTTTTAAGGAAATGTTTTGACGCATGTGTGTATGTCAGAAAATATTATGCTCAAATTATCTCAGACACGCTTTGACTGATTGTTATGAAATTTTTTAGGCTTATTGCAGTTAAAAACATAATCGCTACAAAACAGAAAACTTAAAAACTTAAATATTTAAATGATATATTCACGATACTGACACTTATATAATTTCGTTTTTTCGATTTAAATCTTAAAGGGTGTAAATAAGCAAAATCTGCCTTTGCCCTAAAAAAGCTGAGCAATTCCATGCCAAGTGATCGACGATTTTTCGTCATTGTTAGCAATTTTTTGAAACTTTTTTTCCTTGTAGCTATAAGGATAAGATATGATAAAGTGAAGACGATTTTAAAAATTTCGAAAAAATTTTGAAAATATTCAAATTTGAAAATTTATGTACTAATTTTTTAAAATTAAGGTATTTGTCGCGTAAATTCGTTTTCGACAGAATTTTTTTAAATTTCACATAATTATTCTTTGGATATTTATCTACAAAATAAGGCCTATTAAAATAAAATTGACCGTCTGTAAGTCTCGAAAAATGAAATCAAAGTTTCGATTTTTAACATGTACGATATAGGAAAACCATATGAAAACCACAGATTTTTAATTTTTGCACTTATACTAATCGACAGATTTTTTAGAAAAACTAAAGTTTTATTTATTGAACCAAAATGAACTTTTATAAAAAAAATGAAAATTTTTCACCGTCTTGTTTAAAAGATATTTAACATCAAACTTGAAAAATTATTTTAACATTTACTGTAAATGACAGGTGAATTTGTAAACGTGGCAATAGCGCTTGTTAAATACTACAGCTTGTCTGCTACTTTTGGCGCGAAATTTTAAAGACGGCCATACGCCAAACTTGCGACGTTGCCACGATCGTTTTTCATGCGAGAGGTTATGAATATACTTTGAGAACATCTGTGTGTGAAACTGTACGTCCGCAAAAGTTTTTCGGAAACTCGCATTCATTTAATCGTTTCATAAGTACAGTCAACGGATACAAACTTTTGATAGTGACCAGTCGCGCGACAAATACCTTAAGATAACTCCGGTTGTTTTCAATATTTTTTTTAAGTTTCTCAGTAAAACTAGTACTTTTTAAATAAATTTTTTAGAAAAAAAATTTTTCATTAATTATTAAAAATTTTTCAAAAAAAATTTATTTTTTTTATTTTTTGAAAAACAACCTCTCTCCGATTTTTTTTATTTTTTTTATAGTGATAGCCAAAAGTAATAAGAAATTTTTCGTAAAAGTTTCATAGTGGGATCGCGATAACTTTTCGAGAAATCAACGAAAAAGTCTGACGCGCTCACGAACGTATGTCCAAGAAGTTGGCAACGCCATTTCATTTTTTCTCAACAAAATTTTGATTAAAGTAAAAAACAAAAATTGTGCTACACCTAGCAAACGATAACAAATATTATGCTGAAAAAAAAATTTAAATATTTTCAAAAATTAAAAAAAAAATTTTAATATTTTCAAAAATTAAAAAAAAAATTTCTTTTATACTTCCATTTTTTTGAACATTTTTCACAAATCAAAATTTTGAAAAAATAAAATTTGTGCTGAATTGTGGTCGGCGAGCACAATAAAAAAAGTCTAAAAAACAATGTTTCAAAAAGTTAAATAATTATTTAAAAATAATCATAGGGGAAATTGGGGAATTGTGGGTCACCTCCATTATTTAACAATATTTTAAAGTTTGATCATTGAATTTTTTCATTTTCTTTTGTTTGGCAAAAGTAAATTTTTCATAAGCTTTTTATGACTTTACAGCGCTTTACAATTACTTATAAGTCGTAAGCAACAACCAACTGCAAATTGCATTCGAATATTTATTTTGGGCGTTCATGTTTTTATTGTTTTTACAAGGATTTTTAAGAATTGCCTAGGGGCCGTACACATAATACGTCACGCGGCTAGGGGGAGGGAGGGGGTCTAAGAATTGTGACTAAGTGTGACATGGGGGAGGGGGGGGTGAACTCATGTGTTACGTCACAATCTTTTAAATTCAAAGATTATAAGAAATTATATGTGACAATGTCACTTTTTCTATATAAAACAAGTTAAAAATGCTGTAAACTATTTAATATCTATCACGTACCTGTTTAACATCTATTGGTATATTATTTATAATATGATAAATAATATATTCTCTTAATTTGAATCAGTTGAAAATCATGGTTTTTACTGACAATCAGCAGTGACTGACTTTTTGCTTCTGAATCAGTTAAAAATAACTGAAAAATTATCCACAAAACACCGAAATTTTTCTAAATATTGTATATTAAAGATTTGCTTGCATAATTCGAAAAATTTACTTGCAAAGTTTATTTTAAAATTGTGTAGGGTCAATTGGGGGTAAATGTAAACAGTAGATGTTTCAGCTAAATTTACAAATTTAAAAATAAGTACGACGTCAATATTTTTACCTCAGCTCACCTACAAGATGTTCTGAGTATTGCCAATATTTTATTTTGACAATTGGCAATGCCATAGTGTAAGTTATTTTTTAATGCAAAAATGATTGAAAATCAAAATTTTACTGTTTCAGTATTTTGTCTCGCATTTTCATAAAAATAAATTTAAAAATAAAACAAAAATATGTCATTCTTCCTTATTAATGAACTAACAAAAATTGACTTTGATTTTTGATTTTCGTCAATTTAGTTAATAAATAATTAAGTGTTTACATTTACCCCGAGAATTCGAAAACTCGGGGTAAATGTAAACAGAACTTTAACTACATTTTAAAAGAAAATAATTGAATAAATTTGCTTCTATTTCATAATTTCATTAATTTGGCAATGTAAATATTACATAGAAAAGGAAATTAGGTCCTCTTTGAAAAAAAAATTTAAAAAAAAAAAAAAAAAAAATTTGATCAATTTTTAAAAATATTTTTAGGTTCATTCGCCATTTTGAAAATTTAAAATTTGACTTTAAATTCGTATTCAGCGACCTCAAAAACCCCCGAGTAGCCAGATTCAAGCAAATTTGATCAATTTTTAAAAATATTATTTTTAGGTTCATCCGCCATATTGGATCCACCATTTTGAAATTTAAAAATTCGATTTTAGATTCTTATTCAGCAACCTTGAAAACTTCTTTTTACCAAGTTGAATGAAAATCTATTAAAATTTGTTCAAGTTATTCAAGTTTTTACATTACTAATTTTGTAATGGTTGATTGTTTATTTATATGATACATTATCAGTCAACTGGTTGATTTACTATACATCTACGAAGAATTTTTTTCCAGTTTTTCCATCCCTTAAAACAGTAGTATACTTGAAATAACTTGTTTCTTAAACCTCGCTTAACTACAGTGGTGTTTACATTTACCCCGAATTTTAGGAAAATTTCAAAATCTCGGGGTGAATGTAAACAGTCAGTCTTAGGCGATTCAGGTGCATCAATATTTTTTTGTACCTCATAAAATTTTTCTAGGTAACACTAGCAACAAGTTCATGCAAAAGAAATTCGTCCGTTTTACCTAACAAAAAAAACTAAGTTTTTTGGTGAAAGATACATATTCCGTTTACATTTGCCCTAATTGACCCTAAAGATTTAAATTTCTCACTCCAATAAATGTCTATCGTCAAATTTTCTTAAAAATATAGCTTGAAAGTTCACTGAACATTTGAATTACATTTTCGACTATTATACTTTCGTGAAAATTTTCCTGAAAATTTAAGTTAAATTTTCAGGAAAGTTTCGCACTAAACACTTATTGAAGTGGGATATTTAAATCTTTACACAATCTTCACTAAACTTTGCATTTAAATATTTCGAAGCTTGCGAGTAAATCTTTAATAAATTGTTAGAACAGTTTCGGTGCTATGTAGGTAGTTAAACGTGACTAATTTGAATTAATAAAAAAAAATTGTATTGAAACATCAATTATTTTTAACTAATTGTCAGAAAAAATATTACTATTTGAATTAGTGTCTGATTTTTTGCTTTTAAATCAGTTATTTTTAACTGATTCAATAATTTA